GTTCCGAGCTGCCATGGGCCAGCTCGGGTCATAGCTTTGTGAGGCTTGGGGCCCAATATAGTTCGTGCTCCTTGCAGGGAGCTCGGGTTCTCAGTAGGGAGCTTGGGTTCTTAATAGGGAGCTCGGACTTCCCGTAGGGAGCTCAGACTCTTGGTAGGGAGCTCGAGCTCCTTTTAGAGCGGTCTGGTGGAGTTCGGGCTCAGTAGTGAGCTTGGACTTGCTTTCGGTGCTCGCTTCAGGCGCTCTACTGTCCTGAGTTGCTTGTTTTTGCCACGTGTCGGGTGATTGCGAGGTCGGGCCAAATTCCCCTTCATCAGTTTTCTTCCATTGTTCGTCTCGAATGATCTTCCTGAAAGTTATTAAACTTTTGAATGGTCGCGATCAGCGACGTTGACGTCGTCGTCACTACTGCCTTCGGCATGGTCGTGCTTTTCTAACTCTGACAACAACGATCTGCTCCGATTGCACAATTTTGGAATCTTGCATCCCACTTTTTTCTCATCCCATCCCCCTATTTCCCTTGAAACAAATGAGAGAAAAAGGAATATTTTTGGAATATTCCCTTTTTCTCATCCCCATCCCACAAACAAAACAAAGCCTTAAGGGAAAATAAAGTTAAAAAAATATTTAAACCTGACTATATGAGCAGCGAAGTAATTAGAATGTAAGCCAACAGCGCACTTAAATTTTTTATAAGTAACCATACTTTTAATTGTAGCATAAAATAAATTAAATTAGAAAGTAATAAAACAAATAGATTAACATTTTGGATTTAAAATAGAAAAGACACATAATTACAACACAATCACAACCTTAAAATTTAAACATCAATCTCCATATTTTTACTTAAGCTTACACAAGGTTTTAAAAATCGACTCAGAAGTGGAACCGCTTTGATCACTAGTTATCGGGTCAGTGGTTCGACCTGAATGATTGAATAAAACTGATGATATATATATTCTTTTGTGACAAAAGAGAGAGAGATAGGTGGTTATTGTCGGCCGAGAAAGGAAAGAAAAAAAAAAGAAAGGAAAGAAAGAGAAAGAAAGGAAGGAAGGAAGGAAGAAGAAAGAGAAGGAATAGATGCTCACCGGTGATGATGAATGTGACAACGACGACAGTGGTTGTAACAAATAGCAGAGGCAACATTTCTTCCTTGACCCTTTCTGCTCTCTCTCTCTCTCTCTCATCTTAGTGATCTCATATCTAAGATCTCATTTCAGTCCCTCCCCCATCTCTACATCATTTTTTTCTCTATTAATGATCTTTGAAATAAAAAATTAAGTATTTTATTAAACTGTGAACCAATTCCTGGTTTAGTGGTTCAATCATTTGGGTCAGCATTTCTCTTAAGCATTTGAACAATTCTTTGCAAAATAACGGTTCAAGGCCAAAATAGGACCAGTGACCTAACCAATTCCTGGGCCAAATGGTTTGACTGTCCAATCTAGTCCAGTTTTCAAAATAGTGAGTTGACATGGCTTTTCATTACATGGGTGTGGGGAGTTCAAGACACTAAAAGCTTGGCTGCAATAAATTGTTTGTTAATGTAAAGTATTATTATACAACAAACAACCTTAATTTGACATAGAAAAAACTACTTGTAAAGTAAGAAACGAGATGGAGCCTTAGGCCATGTTTGGTTCAACCCGCATTCTTACTCATTCTCTTCAATAATGAAATTCTACAATAGACAAAATGTGTAGAATGAGAAAATGTTACTCGGAATCAAAAGCTTTTTCATTCTTCAAAGAAGCTTTACAATGATCATAAGGTCTCTAAATCACCAACATAGAATTTTACCAATAGATGGCAGGCAGTCAATGTTTGTTAAGGCATTGACAGACATTTTATGTTGCAAGTTACCCTAATTTTTTCGTGATGCATGGGACACAATTATTTTTTCATGTTGCAAGCTACCTTGATTTTTGTGCTATAAGCTCATTTTTCATTCTAAAAAGAATAAAGTCTAAGACAATAACTGTGTAACCAAATGGTCTCATGTTATCTTATTCTTGCCTAGAATAAATAAGAATCAGAAGAATAAGGCTCATAGCAGCAAACCAAACATGGCCTAATTTGTTTGTAGGAATGAGTTTCTTACACATGGCATGTTACCATAGGCAAAGGGTAAAAGAGTACTTGCAACCAAAATTCTTTTAGTACAAGGCTACAAGTAAAGGATTGAGTGAAGATAGTGTGTCATAGGAGGAAGCTCCTAGAAAGCCCTGGCTAAAGTTTCTTCGTTTGTAGGGTTTGTGGTTTGTTATAGCAGAGACTTGGGATCAAATCCCATTGCCACAAAGATTAGGGGATTATGGGTGGGGGTAAACACTGACCAAATCTCTACTCCTTACACGTATATCCTACCATGCATTGGGAACATCTCCCATACTTATTAGTCATTATTCATAGGAGATGTTTCCAATGCACGGTGGATGTGCATGTGAAGTGACCATTTGTGAGGAACAGATCCCATCACCTCTAAGTAGACCAAAAAATTGATCCAAACCAAAACATTTAGACTTAGGGTCTATCATTTCGCCGACCCAACCCAATAGTGTCTTGACCTAACCCAATTGTAACGTCTACCTCCAAGTTATGCTGCGTTTGGTTTGTCCTTACCTTTCCCTTCTTCCCTTATCTTTTCCTTCAAACCAAACAGGCAAACACAACTAAACCAATAAAAAATTTGAAGATTTGATACCTCATCAATGAGAAATTGGTGGAGGTGACGTGGGCACTGCAATTCACTGCACGTGCTCCCTTCTTAATAAAACTCAAAAAAGAGAAAGAAAAAGAAGCTTATGGCCATTGCCAACCATGCTGCATGCTTGCACGTGGATCCGACCGGTGGCAATTTCGTAAATACATATAATAATAAGTTTGTTTTCGGTCCTAGATTCTTGAATCTTGATAGATAGTGAGTTGAGTTACTTTACTATAGGTAGGACTCACTGAAGTTTCGTCCTTCGCATCAGTCATCAGATCAGACTTCCGCTCTGGATCTGGACCCAAACCCAAACCCAAACCCAACAACAGTCACGAGCCATTTACTTATTAGTCAAACAGCAGGGTCAGACGGGCAGGAGGTCAAGACTAAAGAGAGACAACAGTCTACAGTGCTCCGTGCTACACAGCCTATAGAGAGAGAGAGAGAGAGGGGTTGAACGGTTGAACACTGGAACTCTTTAAACTGTTGATCTCTTCACACGTCAAACAGTGTGCCAGTCATGTGGTGGGTAAAGGTGAAACCTCTGTACTGCAACTCCCCTTTGCTTTGCCATTCAAAAATCAATATTTATAATTCAAAAATGGTCCCCTCTATTCTATTGGGTCATTTATTAGAATACCCCTCTAATTTTTTAAATTTATTAAAACTTACCTTTTCGTTTGCATTTTATTAAAACACCTTCTATAACTTGCAATTGATTTATTTAATCGACTTTTTATTAGATTAAAGTAAAGAAAATGTCAACCTTAACTCTAATGACATTCGAGTAAATTTAATTAAAAGAAAATAAAAATTACATTAGAGACAAATAACCATTCTATTTGGTTAAATTTATTTTTGTATTAAGGATATTTTAAGGTCAATCGAGTAATTAGATTGAAATTTGAAAAGTATAAAGAGTGTTTTAGTAAAATAAAAAACTATACGATTGGTTTAAGTAAGCTCGTGAAACTATAAACGAGTTCTAGTAAATGACCCTATTTCATTTTACAATTTATACTTTATAAGGGTTTTATCGTAACTATAACATTGTTGTGGGCTATTCCGTAAATTTCCTTCTTTCTTTTCAGTCTGGCGGTCCAGGGGTTTAGACCATTGTGTCTCCTTGGTCCTTGGCATTGAGTTAAGCCAAACTGAGCGGTAAGGTAATATCTTGTGGGGCCGTACATGGGGGCGTCCGTTGTCAAGCCCTTGGCCGTTGATTTTTACGTGGTCGCCTTTAGCGTTGTCAAGCCTCTACCTGATTGACACGTGTCCGTACACCCTACTTTCCATACTCCTCTGGTCGATCGTCACTAATCACCACGACAACGGAGACGATAAAGCAAGGAGAAAGAGAGAGAGAAGCCGTTAGTTGGCTCGTTGGGCTTATGTCAAGATGGGACCCATACGTGACGAGGCCCACATCGCAACGGAAAATAGAGACGTGTATTAGGCTGCAGAAATACACACAATTATTTCCCTGTTTTTCCCTGCAACGGCAAAAAGCTGAAAGACATGTCAGAAGACTTTCACTACTTTAATGCCATCGACCCATCCCCGTACGCCTCTCTCTCTCTCTGGACCCAAAAAGAGTGGTATCTGGTATTTCCTCCCCGCTTTCTTGCCTTCCAAAGCGGTTTTGGCTTTTACACTCCTTTTTAAAACATCCGCTCTTATCTTTCTCTCTCTCTCTCTCTCTCCCCCTCCCAGACCCAGTCACAGACACCAGAGCCTCCCTTCCTTTCTCTCAGTTGCAGCAGATCTGTTGTTATTGCAGTTTCAGAGTATAGTTATACCTAACTCCTACTGGGTCTCTTTTGGTTTTCTTTTCCTCTGGTTAAGTGAGGAGCCAGCCCATGTATAAGCATGGAAGCCCAAAGCCCACCTTGTAAGATTGCTCGTGTTGCTGAAAATGGTACTCTCTCTCTCTCTCCTTCCCTCTTTCTCTCTCTTCCCCCCCTCTCTTTCTCTCTCTCTCTCTCTCTCTCTCTCTCTCAAGTCTGAAGTTTTTCTCTTCTTTTTCTTTTGGTTTTTTCTTTTATTTTTTGAAGGAATTGGGTCGATGGGAGCAGGGTCACCTTCGGTTGGGCTTGGGCTCGGACTTGGGCTCGGGCCTGGGCTTAGCCATGGAAAGTCTGGGTTCACCTTTCTTCAGTTGCAGGAGCTAGAACACCAAGCTCTTATCTTTAAATACATGGTTGCAGGCGTGCCTGTGCCTGTTCATCTCGTCCTTCCTATCTGGAAGAGCGTTGTAAGCTCATACGGTGGTGTTAATGGTGGGATCTATCAACACTACCCAAGCTGTAAGTCCCCAAATATGCGTTTCCTTTGACCTGGGTTTCTGGTTTTTTAAGCTATCCTCTTTCTGGTTTCTCCATACTTTTATTTTCTAATAAATGGGTTTTAGGTTGATTTAAAGCTTTTTACTTTGAGAGGTTGAGGGGGGTTTCTCTTTTGAAGGTCCCTCTTTGTCTGATGTCACTTTCTTTCTCTCTGTGTTGAGGAAGCAAAGGAACTAGCTAGTGATCTGATTTGGGTTTTGTTTTGTTTCTCTCTTTGCAGTCTTAGGTTGCACAAGTCTGTGCCTTGATTACAGAAACAGCATGGAACCTGAACCAGGGAGGTGCAGAAGAACAGATGGGAAGAAATGGCGTTGCACCAAGGATGTTGTTCCAGATCAAAAGTACTGTGAGAGGCACATGCACAGAGGCCGTAAATGTTCAAGAAAGCATGTGGAAGCCTCTCAAGGTGGTGCTACTCCCCCTTGTGCTGCTGCTGCTGCTTCTTCTGTTAACGCCACAACCAGCAAAACAAACAACGATTCTCTGAACTCAAACACCAATCTATCCATCTCAATCCCAGCAAATCTTGAACTCACCACCACCACTACCACCACCAACACCAACACCAACAACAACAACGATGTCAGTGGAAGCAACACCAGCAATAACATCAGCAACAGCAATGCTGGTATTAATGTTTCTCCAAGCTTGGGTTTTTCTCCCAAGAGTGTCCTTCAAAGTGGCACCTGCAAAACTGACTCCTCATTGTGAACAGGGAGACCCTTCTCCCCTCTTCTTGTTTTAGGGTTTTAGGGTGCAGTTTGTTGAAGGATTCAATCAAAACTCCTTGCTTCAAATGGGAGAGACAGTTATTGCTGGTTTTGTTTGGTGGAGGGGGAGAAAAGAACTGATGGGTTCCACCATTGGTTAACTTTTTAGGTTTAAAGGGAAATATCATGTTTTTAGCTGATCCTACATGTTTGTTCAGATCTTATATATGCTTCTACTTTTCCTCTTATGCTCGCTCATATCATCCTTCTCCATTCATTCTAAATTTTTAATGTGTTCTCGCCTTTCAATTTCATTCATGGAAGGGTGGAAACTGTAAATCTTTTCCTAGCTCTGTGAATATGTTTGAGCTGGTTGGATGATGTGGGGCTCTCTGCTTCTCTCTTTTCGGTTTTTGTCTGCTAGCCTACTGGTAAATATGATCTGTAGATCACTGTAAACTTTCTATACTAGATCCAAATCCGAATTCAAATTCAGTGGATCCGACCCGAAGTAGTGTGTGTTGGATAAAGGAGGGTTTTTCTTATTATTCCATAAATCGGGGTTGGCTAAAAGTGATACAGTCCACAGAAATGGCAAATTACTTCATCATTCGTTCTACTTGGGACCAGAATTTGGAAACAGCCTAGCATGAGCTGGAAATTATTCTTATTATTCTTATTATTCTTATTATTATTATTATTATTATTATTATTATTATTAAAAGAAAATTCACGAAAATAAAATGGAAAAATCTTTTGAAGTATGCCATCTGGCATGACATAACTATTAGGAATTAATGGTTCTTTGCCCTCTCCTTCTCCGGCACAAAAATTTCATCCAGGATTCAGAAATCTTTAAATCCTGACCTCTGAAAAGCGGAGAAGTCTCGACTCTTGAGAATGATTCTGAATTCTGGTATCTGAAAATGAGTTGGGGTCTGGGGAGATTTCGGAATACTTTTTTCATGGCCATTGCCCATTTTACGTGAAACAGAATTTATTGAATTTGTGTTGAGGGTTTCGGGGTGTACACGAAAAACCAAAAGATTGAACTAAACCGAAAAAACCAAAACGTAAAATGTAGTTAACCGAACCGATCGGTTCGATTTCGGTTTGGGATTTTTGAAAAACCGAAGGACAGGCTTGATTTTTGGTTACTTTACAAAAAAATCGATTTTTAACTGAATCGATCGATATATATATTTTTATGTATATTTTATATATATTTTTAATGTCACATTTTTTATGCATTATATATAAATATATATTCATTATATATATATAAATATATACTTATATTATATTTATAATGATCTATTTATATATATATATATATTATATTATATATTTTTTAAATATTTATAATATATTATATATTATATATTATTTATTATTTATAATATAATATTGTACATACATTTGTATAATATATTATAAATATAAAAAACCGAAAAAACTGAACCAAACCAGTCAAAAACCGAAATCGATGAACCAGTCCGGTAGTACCAATTCAATTTCGGTTTGGAGAATTAGAAAAACCGATAGCATCGGTTTGGTTTACAAAAAAGTGCCATGGTTCAGTTAACCGAACCGTGGAAACCCCTAGGCACACACACCTTAATTCAAAAGAGATAATGTGCTTTAGCAATCGAATTTTCAACATTTTGGCAGTTTTTTATTCTACATTCATTGAATTTTGAATGGAAAATTTAGTATTAAATTTATCATGCCAAAAAGATATGATACTAGAAAAACCATTGATCAATCAAAGTTCTTTGTGAATTTAGAAAATAAAAAACCCACCCTAATTGGGTAAAACCCATGGTTTTTGAGTCATCATTGACCCGAACAGTCAGACTGTTTGGCCCAGGAACCGTCTAGACAATTGGTTCTATTTTACCCCAAATTTGGTCTCTGGTCAAAACCGTTGAATTGGTCAATAACCCGTTGACCCAGACGGTTGAACCGTTGAGCCATCAACCCATTCAATGCTTTTTGGCTATTTTTTATTTTTTTTCTAATTTTTATTATCAAAATGAGCCGTCTGTTCGAACCGTCGACTCGAAAACTGGTGGCTAGAACGGTTCTATTTCTGGGTCGTTTTTTAAAGCCACGGTTAAAACCACTCATGAAATGAAAACCACCTTAATTGGTTGGTTACCATCTTTATAAAAACCCGTCGTGAATTTAAAAAAAACCACCCCAATTGCTTAAAACCCCTCATGAAATCAAAACCACCTTAATTGGTTACCACTTTTATGATACCACAAAACATTGTTTTTTTTTTATCCAAAATTGATAAGGGGTGGGTTTTGGGTCTGTCTATGTCGTGAAAATGCCCAAAAATCCCAATGGCTGTGTATGTGAAAGGCCCCATCTTTATTGGCTTGGTGTTGCTTCTGCTGTTTATGGGGATCGCCATCTACTTCAAGCTTTGGGTTATTGATTACAATTTCTCATTTGAAGACAAAGATTGGATGAGGTTTGATTCCATCAGTTTAATACTGGCATATATTCCATCAGTTTTTTTTAATCAAACCTCATCAGTTTTTTTCCTTGTTTAATGGACTATGGTTGTTGATATTTATTGGCTCTTGTTCTTCTTTCTCCTTTGTGGGTTTGGAAGTGTATCATCCACAAAAGAACGCCATTCCTTTTTCTTGAATTCTTTTCGTAGGTAGGATGTCCTGACGATTAATTAGGGATAGTTTTGTAATTTTATATATTTTCAGTTTAATCAGTGACAGAAGGAAGTTTTCTGTTTGAATTTTTATTAAATGAAATTAAAATGGAGGTTTTTATAATTTTCAGAAACTTTAAGAGAGATTTTTGTATTTTACCTTAAAAATAAATTAAAAAAAAAACATGAATAACTAGTAACTTATCAAAAAGCAGCCAGGCCTATTTGTTATTTTTTTTTATATATATTTATACTTTGACTTGGCATCACTGTCAATGAGGATGTAGATGATGGGCGATTGGTGAGAGGGAAGGCTTCCTATCTGACTGATGATAGGTCACTCTTATGCCCTTTATCAAATGCTACTTGGTCGACCAAATTAAAGCTCCCTTACCAGATTTCATGCCAAACGATACATAGATGTGAAAATATTGTGGAAGCATTGAACAAACTATGTCAGTGAATAATACTTTGGATCTCGGCGCAGCGGTGCACGGGCACAAGGTCAATGTCTCATAATTGTGAATGAATCACATGCCTACCGAACATAATAAAGAGAGATGGGATCTCACACAGTTAGGTAGTTAGTTGAAGGCCATTGCCTATAAAAATAAAACAAATGTACAGTACAACTTAAGGGTGGTCATTTTATCCAAATTTTTTTACCCGGGTCCGACTATAATATCGAAAACCATTATCGTATGAAAAATTCCTTGCAATGCTCCCATCCCCGATTAATATATATATATATATATATATATATATATATATATAATATTATTCGTTTTTAAAATATTAATTATTAAAACTTTAAAAACAATAAAAGTGTAAAACACTAAACTAAAACTCTTAACATTCGACAAAGGGAAGAGAGAAGTCGAGAACTCTCAACTATGTCTTTGGAACAGCTAAACCAGTGAACCCTAGCTTCGTGCATGCCTTCGTCTTCTTTCGTCTTTGATTCTTTGTCGCCAATTCACCTAGCTTCGTGCCTTCTTGAGTGATAGAGAAGAGATATTCAAAGAAGAGTTTCAGTTGTCAGTCCTTCTAACCTTTGTTTATCGTCGCTGACCGTCGTCGCCGACCTTAACTCTCCCAACGGTCCTCTCCTCTCTTTCTCTCTCTCAGTCTCAATCTCTCTGTAACCTCTCAGTTCGTCGGGGATTTAGGCCTCTGATGGGAAATTCATCCCCGTCTGGGTCAGGGATGGAGGAGGGATTCCTTTATCCGTCGGGGATCAGGGACGGGGATGGAGGGTGATTTGGGGGTCAGGGTCAGGGATGGAGAATGTAATCTCCGCCCCGAACCCGCCCCGTTGCCATTCCTAATGAGACACACGGTCACTAACGTGTAATGAGGTCCCAAGATAAACAATGCTGAAGAAGAAGAATTTTAAGCAAGTATTGAACAATTCTGATGGCTTAATTCAAATCTCAACAACAATATCATCAGATGGGTCATTCTCGTGCAAACAAAGTCTGCTAGTTATCTAGAAACAAATGATACGCGTCGTGAATTCACAGCTAATGTATAGAGTGAGATTGTGAGAAAACTCACCGAATAGTATGGAACGGCTGAAACGACGTTGATCGGCTCTGCTGAATCGGGAGATGATAAAGCATAGAGTGCTGCCTGAAAGAGTTGTGTTGAACCGGTACCAACCACGATGTAACAACCTTCTGTTTCAGTGTTGGCCACCAAATGATGCAAGCGTCTGATCTCTTCCGCTAATTCCGGCTTCAGAAACCAGCACAAGTTTGTAATGTCGAAGAAGTAGCTTAGCGATTGCCAGACGGAGATCACCACTGTGCACTTGTCCCCCATCTTCTGCCAATATGGCTCGAACATTTTTGGATCACCACCGTTAAAAGTCAAATAAAAAATACCATTAGGCGTCAGTCCGAGAATATGAAATTACTGTATCTTGGGACGATCTACATATCAAAAACCCAACTTCAAACTGTAATTGAAAATGATGGAAGCAAATAACGCACAGGCTTCAAATTGGAAGCTTAATTCCTGGTCAAGGTTAATAACGGAGTCAGAGGGGAGCTTCTTGGTCATGCCGTTTTGTTTTGCTTGGAAAGCAATAGAAGAAGGGGAAGAGTGGTCGTTAATGCGCACCTCCTGCTCAGTACCAGGCATCTTTCTTCTATTCTCTGTTTAGTTACCGTTAGACGACGCGAAAACAAAAAAACTCCTGAAAACTCGAACAAGCATTGAAGAGAGAGATCATATCCAGAAATCAACACTGTTTCTCGATCTCATACGGCTGCTTACCTCTTGCTCCCGACTGTCTTTGATTGTCAGAGGCCCCCTGTACTAGCCGTCCGAAGCAGCCGTTCTTCACCATCGGAAGTGAGCTTTCCCAGCCATCGTGCACCCCCATCCGCCGGAACAGCTTCTGGGTGATGTTTAACGGTGAAGACTAACATTTTTCTTATCTTGAAATGAATTTCTTTTTTGAAATACAATTTAAATGATTGTTTTTGAAACCGGTTATGTAGGATAACCGGTATTCACCGGACAAAGAAGTGGAATGTTGATTAGATTTTCCCTTTTTATCAAGTTTTGTTTTAG